CCCTCTTCCCAATCCTCCTTGCTGACCCACACCACCACCTGGTCAACTGTCCAAGGCAGGTTTAAACAAGCTGCTCAGACTTCTAGAGCCACAGAAAGCACCTTCAGGATGCAGATATAAGAGAAGCTGGAAATCAGCTCCACTGAGCCCTTTAAAAGAGGAAGTTCAACCATATGACCCAGCAATCGCACTACTGGGCATGTACCCAGAGAAAATTTAAAAAGACACACGCACCCCAACGTTCACTGCAGCACTATTTACAATAGCCAGGTCGTGGAAGCAACCTAAATGCCCATCGACAGACGAATGGATAAAGAAGATGTGGTACATATGTACAATGGAATATTACTCAGCCATAAAAGGAATGAAATTGGGTCATTTGTAGAGACGTGGATGGATCTAGAGACTGTCAGACAGAGTGAAGTAAGTCAGAAAGAGAAGAACAAAGATCGTATATTAACGCATATATGTGGAGCCTAGAAAAATGGTACAGATGAGCCGGTTTGCAGGATAGAAATAGAGACACAGATGTGGAGAACAAACGTGTGGACACCAAGTGGGGAAAGTGGTGGTGTGATGAATTGGGAGATTGGGATTGACATATATACACTAATATGTATAAAATGGATAACTAATAAGAACCTGCTGTATTACCAAAAAATGAATAAAATAAAATAAAATAAAAATAAAATAATAAAAGAGGAAGCTTACAGAACACAGGGTTTTCCAGCTGGAAGGAACCTGTATGTTGACTCAGCGCAGAAATCTGGCCGTGGTCTCCCCGATAGGCCGCAGGACACCCCCCACCCCCAGGCTCTCCGCCCACCCAGGCTCCTTATTGATGGATGGCCCTGTCCCGAAGTGCGTCCTTCCACAACCTCACATTGGGGACCAAGTCGGTACTCCGTCTGATACCATGTGAGGCCAAACCCTCCGTAGTCAGGAGGCCCTGGTCCCAGGCCCTCCACATTAGAAGGACTCATCGGCCAGAAATTCAGCGGAGACCGGGGTGGGGGGCGGGGAGGGGCGGGGGAGGCTGGGCTCATCAGGAGAGTGCCGGAGGGAGGCCCTGCGCGCAGGTCTGAAGGCTCTATCCACCCAGGAGACTCAGTTATTTCTCCCCTACTACTCAGCTGCCCTAGGAGTAAAGCTCTGAGAGGGAGAATTCCCTCGGGGGGGGGGGGGGGGGAGGAAGGGAAGGGGAGGGGAGGGGAGGTACCCAAGGTCAGCTGAGCCACTACGTGGCCAGACACCTCCAAGCATCTCCACGGACAGAGAGCTGCGTGCCAGGCTCAGCTCCCCATTGCTGTTTATCCTTTAATTACACAGCGGGAGCTAAAGTGCACGTCTGGCCCAGGAGTCACTGCTTCGTCCAAAGCAGGTGTCTGAGGAAGTTACCTGTCTCAGCCAGCCCAGGCAGAAGGGGGGTGAGGGGTAGGCTGGCACGGCCAGACAAGAGTCTGGGTGCACTCCGAGTCCTATCACCAGCCCGGTCTGCTTCACAGCCACCCTCCCCGACATGCCCCCATCCCCCCACTGCTGGGAGCTCGTGCCTGCACCATTGTCTCAGTTTCCCCAGAACTCAGAGTGTAAGGTCAGGCCTTAGTTAGCTCTGGCTGCCATAACAGAATATCATAGACAGGGTGGCTAAAACAACAGACATTTATTCCTCACAGCTCTGGAGGCTGGGTGTCAGCATGGTCAGATTCTGGAAAGAGCCCTCTTCCTCGCTTGCAGATGCCCTCTCACTGTGTCCTCGTATGGTGGGGAGAAAGCTAGCTCCAGTCTCTACCCTGCCTTATAAGGACACTAATCCTACCACAGGGGCCCTGACTCCATGGCCGCATCTAAACCTAGTTATCTCCCAAAGGCCCTACTTCCAAATACCATCTCCTATGGGGTTAGAGCTTCAGCATATAAATTTGGGGGACACCTACACTCAGGCCATATCAGCCTGTGGCTCTTTCTTCCCAAACGCACGTCTGCATCCTGGACCCCTCTCCTGAGTGCCAGGCCTTCTACTTGTTCTACCTGGTGGACGCAGGGAATCCGAAGAAACAAGGGGCAGGGACAGAGCAAGCCCAGATTCAGGGCCATCCCCAGAGCAACAGCCCTCCTGACACTGGCCACGCTGATAATTCCCTAGTGCACTTCCTACCAGTCCCATCCTCAAACTACGTCCTAACAGCCTGTCCTTGTATGATACACACACAACTTCTTTTTTGCTGTCGTGGCGGGTATGGAGGTCCTCATAGATGCCACTCGGACACGGTCACAAGTGAGCAGGGGCATCCCTGGCCTCCCTCGGGCTTTGATCTCCCGGAGCCTGACTGCCCTGCTCCTTGCTTGGCTATCACAGCAGCAGTTGGAGGAGATGGTGCATGTGGGGGCACCTCACACTGGGCTTGGCCCCTGGAGAGTTTGTTCAGAATAACTGTCCACCTCCTCTCTGACTGCCCCTGCCACGTGCCCATCTTCCCAGGCCCTGGGAGGAGCAGAGACAGAAGCAGAATTGGTGGGTTCCTCAGTCTGAGCCAAGCCCTTAGGAACCCCATCAAGTCTCTCTCCTGCGTTAAGTCCAAGTTTCCACGACTGGCTTGGGCTGGGGTGCCGTCGGGCACCACTCCCCCTCTTGGAGCCTCCTACCCCGCATGAGTGAAATGCTCCTCCCACCCCCAGGTTTAGGGTTCTCAAGAGAAAGTGTCAACAGACATGCCTCAAACTGATGGGCACTTCAGTTTCCTCTTGGCTGTCTTGGGAAGGTGAGGGACCTAACAGAGAGGCCAAAGCAGCCCCAGAGAAGAATGAACAAGTCCAGGGTCTGGGCTTGGTACCCAGACAGGCAGGCAGGAGGCCTTTCAGAAGTGTCTGGAGCCCAGGCCCTGGACCCTGCTGGGAGGAGGGCTGTTGTGGTTTCTGCTTTTACTGAAGCAGCGAAGGTCAAGGAGTAGTTTAGTTCAGGGCCCTCCCCGCCGCTGAGCCTGGCAAAGTGTGTCAGGGACTCCCCTTTGCCAGGACACACCCGTGGCCTAGGGAGGCAGAAAGAGCAGGGTGTAGTCCTGTGGGTTTCTGTGTCTGCCTTTTAAAAATAACAGCTTTGGCTGCAGCTGACACCCTGTGTCCCTTGTAAGTCCTTCTCTACTGTGGGTCTGCTTCCTGCCCTGTCCCATGAAGGCTGGGCCCGGGCATCCCTTGGAGCTGTAGGGACACCATTCCGGATCTGTTTCAACTTAAGAAAAGTTCAAGGGCATCATGACCAGATATTTGGACACACATACATCAGGACACATACCACACACAGGCAGGCACCCTTACACACACACACAAACATACACATGGATCACAATTCGCTTTTCTAAAAAAAAACTGAAATGGATCTCAAATGCGTAGGGCCACTAGCATTTTGAAAAACATTTTCTTTCCTCTCTTTGGGACTGAGGCCAGGGGACACTGTTCCCAGAGAACCAAGTTAGGGTCATATAAGTCTCTTTTTTTCCTTTCGATGTATTACTTTCCTTAAAAAAGAAAGGAAGTTGGATTAGTTTATTCTCAACAGTGAAAAATGCTATCTCTTTCCTCCAAAGTAGCTGGCTCGATTCTATTCAATATTTGGAGAAGCCAAATGTGCCAAATCTTCATGAAGAGCTGAAGGGAGAAGCTTCTCGTTTCTAGCCTGGCCCTATAATTTACAGCACAGAGGACAGGCAATGCTGCTCCCCGAAGGGACACTTCTTGGGACACCAAGCCTGACCCTTCCAGCTTAGTTCTGGGGAGACATGTAGACTCCCGGAAGACTGAGAGAACACATCTAAATGACAGTTCAAGGGCAGAATGAAGGGCTATCACAGGACAATGGGGTTTCATTGTCCCATAAAGGGATAATGCAAGACCTCTCAGAAGTGACAGGTCACTTCAGGTTGGGATGTTCGGGGAAGACTTTACGGAGGAGATAAAATTCTGGCTGGCCTGAAATATGTGTGCTATTTGGACAGGTCAAGAGAAGTGAAGAGGACATTCCAGGAGAGGGGACTGGCCTGAGTAAAGGCAAGGAGACCAGGACTCTTTGAAGGGTCCCCTGAGTTTGGAGTCCAGAGAGTGGACCAATTGGACCACAGAGGAACATTCTGGGGGAAATAATGGAAGAAGAGGGGTTGAACTTTATATCCAGGAGGCAATGGGGGTGGAAGGAGAGGCATTAGAGATTTCTGAGCAGGAAGGAGATACAATCAATATTTTAGGACAATAACGCTTGAGACACCAGCAGGTGGCCTGAAGGGGACAAACTCATCAAGCACTTTCACACACAATTCAAGCTGAAGAAGATTTCTCTTAAAGGTTCTGGGCAGCCCCAAAGTCAGCTTACAGCCGAGGCTTGCCTGGAGCTAGGGAGACAGATGAGCAAACTCCTAAATCATACTCCTCTTTGTAATAGCTCTGGATGACAGTTTCTTATCTGTCTCTTCATAACTTTTATTGAATTAGTATGGAAATACAATGTCCACTATTTTTTTTCATTCAACATTTTAAATGAGACTCTAGATCCTCAAAACCATCATCATTGTATTTTTCATTATGACAGGTTTGATGTCAGCTCTCCTACTAGATGGTAAGCTCCTCCAAACGCAGAAACTTTCATCTGTGTCTCCCTGACTAGCCCCTAGCACAGAGGCCAGCAGAAAGAACTAAATAGGTAACCAACTGTGAAATCACGTAATGATATCTTTTTTTTAAATTTAATTTAATTTATTTATTTTATTTTTGGCTGCGTTGGGCCTTCATAGCTGCACGCGGACTTTTCTCTCTAGTTGCGGCGAGCAGGGGCTTCTCTTCGTTGTGGTGCGTGGGCTTCTCATTGCGATGGCTTCTTTTGTTGCGGAGTACAGGCTCTAGGCGCCAGGGCTTCAGTAGCTGTGGCACGCGGGCTCAGTAGTTGTGGCTCACGGGCTCTAGAGCACAGGCTCAATAGTTGTGGCGCAAGGGCTTAGTTGTTCCATGGCATGTAGGATCTTCCTGGACCAGGGATCGAACCCGTGTCCCCTGCATTGGCAGGCCGACACCAGGGAAGTCCCAGGTAATAATATCTTCATTACCACACTGTTTGCTTTGGTCAAGGCATTGTAAATCATTGATTGTGCTTTAGGGGTTAAACTATAAAAGAGGATATCCTTCATTTACCTTAAAAATAAACTTGGACTGTCAGGCCCTCTAATCTGCAAATTATTTTTTCAAAGAAAAGGCTAACTCTGGGCTTTCCTACTAAAAATACGTTTAGCAAAACTTTGTGGCAGAAAACGTCCTTTAAATGGGTCAGAGCCTAGAGTCCATCAGATGGATCCCAGGCTTCAGGCCATGCTGACTGACGCCAAGGACACAAGAATGCCTATCATTCCTTCTGGGGACACCAGCCTCTTATAGACACTGAAAGTACTTACGGAAGCCAGCGGGTAAATCTGCAAACCCCCAGCTAATCCTGTAAAACATCCTTGTCACAGGGGGTGCCCCCCCCCAGAAAGTGGACTCTGGGATGGAGAACAGTGTGCAAGAAGTTTCCCAGGGAGCGCCTTCAGGGTGACCACCTATGTGAGAAGGAAGGAAACGGGGTTGGGCAGGGGGAGAAGGTGGGCTGCACTGCAGTCCCAACAAGGCCTCAGCTGACCCCACAGGGAACTCTGAAGTTGGGGTAGCCGTCGGAGTTGTACCCAGCTGAGGCAAGAGCCAGGCCTGTCTACCTTCCCCCACTGATCAGTCACTGGATGTGGGCTGTGCCCTAGAAGGGGCACAGCCATCAGCAAGGCTGCTGCCTTGAGCAGAGGGCGATTCCCAAAGAGGCCGTCGGCCAGCTGCAGTCCCAGTAACTGGGGGTGAAGTCCTTCTGTCCTGAGTGGGGGTCGGGTGGAGCATAGCAACCACCATGGTCTCGAATGATCTGTGCAGGCACCCGGGTGCAAGTAGGACAGCCGGATGCTCAGAGACCAGAGAGGAGGAAGCAGTAGAGTGGCTGGGAGACAGATCTCGAGCCACATCTTGGCCCTGCCACTTACAATCTGTCAGCTTAGATTAGTATCAAACTTTCTGAGTCTCAGCTTCTCCATCTGTAAAATCCACCTATAATATCCACCTTATAGGGTTTTTTATGAGGATCACAGAAGTATAGAAAATGTCCTGGCATAGTACTACAAATGGTGCTGGTAAACGGTGACCACAGTAATTGTCGTTACTTTAGCAGCTGCAGCGTCAAGGGTGATTCCCTGGTATTGGTACCAGATGCTCTCAGGTGGGAGCTATGCCAAAGTCTGGGTCAAGAGCCATCAAGTATATGGACCGCTGGGCTCTAGGGGTCTGTGAGGATGGCTAGTCATCTCCTTACATCTCAGGCCAGTGTCCTGCTGGGATCAAAGACACTGCTGTAGGCATCGTCAGGAACAAAGGACAATACTGGGAAGGGGTTTTGGCTGTCCTCACCAGCAGAGCACATGGCAGCCTCCATGTGTCAGGCACCAAGAGGTTGGCCTTGGAGGCGGGTGGGGCATTCACTCTGCAGGCCGTGGGCGTCCCCCTTCTGGTGGCCTGTCCAAGGGGTATGACCACATGACAGGTTAGAAGTGTTTGCATTCACTGTTTCCTCTTTCCAACAGTCAGCATGTAGAAAACCATCAAGCAGGGGTGATTCCTGCGCATATGGGAAGTTCAGGGTGTCAAGGCCACCAGGAGTGGATGCCAGAGCTTTGATCCTCCATCTGATTGTGAGTTTCCCTTGAGAGCTTGAAGCACTTGACCGGGCTGAGATTACTCGTTCTCACCGCTCTCCTAGACTAGAAGTCCCATATGGTACTGCACAGGCTCTGGAATCAGAAAAGTCTGATTCCTCAGTTTAAATCCTGTCTTCATCCTTCATCAACTGCGGGACCCTGGACAAGGGTCAGCGCCCTCCAGGAAATCCACCAGGATCACACCTGTAGTTGAACAAGTTGGGTTTATTCCTCATTGCAGCAAGAGAGAACGCACACCAGGGGTGTCCCAGTAAGAGGGTGTTAGAAAGAACCAATTACAGGGTTTGGATTTTGTTGGGCGGCTTGGGGTGCGGGGGGGGGGTCTAAGGAAGTGGGAGTTTGGATGTTGTTAGAAAGTGGAACAAGTCTATGACTGGGTATCTCAGTAAATCTTTCTACAAGGAGGGCTACGTCGAGGATCACGCTGTAAAGAAGCTGCCGTCACTCTTCCGGGACACAGGGGCAGAGGTATTTTGTGGGTGGCACAGCGGTGTTTTTGTCTGTGCTTAGACAAAACTACAAGGAGGTCTTGCTGGGTCCATCTTAGCCTGGTCTCAGGGTGCCCTGTGAGAGGCTGGTATCCTGTGAGATTGTTTATGTCCAACAGGAGAAGAGCACCGCTGGCTGTGAATGGGAGTCTAGCTTCCAAACGTCAGGGGCTGCTCTGTTTCAATTTCTCACCAGGTTACTAAATCTCTCCATGTCAAAATTTCTCCATCCGTAAAATGGGGGTAAGAATATCTACCCAGAGGGTGGTTTTGAAGAACAAATAAGATAACGCAGAGCTCAGAGCAGGAGCCCACCGTGTGGGTCTCCGTGTTACCCCCTAGAATATCACAGCTGCTATGTGGTAATATGGCAGCTGCTCAAACACCCGTTTTATAGATTAAGAAACTGAGATAGAAAAAGTCGGTGTTTTGGGGTAAAAATCAGAGGTGAAATAGCCATTCACCAAAGCTGCAACTGAGATTCCCACCTGGAGTCACGGCCCAGGCCATCGGCTCCGGCACAGCCCACACCAGGGCCGGAGCATTGCCCTGGGGAGGAAGGGGCGTGGCCACCGTGGGACCTGGAGAGCAGTGGTCACCACGGGGACGTGATGCCCGAGTTTCACTTGGCAGCTTTCACACTGAGCTTAGGGAGAGTGAGTGGCCTCAGACGTGGAATCCGGGGAGTAGCCCGAGGAGCACAGAGTACAGCATGACTCTGAGCCAGGAACAGAGTCAAAACCAACTGCTTCTGGTTCCCACACGTAATCTTGTCTGATAATAGTAGAGTTAATCACAAGTGAGATTTCCAGAATAAAGCCCACCCAGGCTGAGTTCCCCAAATTATACCCTCTCCCTGGTAATTGCCGAGCTGTTCGGGACCTGCCTTATAACAGCATTTCTATGAGGACCAGATTGAGTGCCACCTCTCATTTGGTGGAGCAAAAAGAAAATTTTACACTCTGATGGCCCGGCTTCCCCACCTTGGGGCAGTGGAAAGGCATCAGGCATGGAATCGCAGATCAGTGCCTTCTCAGCTACGTGGATTTGGAAATGCACTCAGCCTTCATGTGCTCAGCTGTAAGATGGGAATAACAAAATGTCACCGTCCTTCCTATCGCCCAAGACTGCTGCAAAGATCAAATGCCATATTCACATGTGAGCAAAGAGCTCTAAAAAGAATTTTAAAAAGTAAAACATTTCCTATAAAATGACTTTTAACAGTATATAAAACGGATTTGAAGCAAAAACGAAAAGGTCATGTTTTAACTAGAATGTTCTATGGTGATATCATTAATGCTCTTCCACAATGTTTGCTAATGATGGTTATTTCAGGAGCCTGGAATTTTATTTATCTTTTTATAAATTTATTTATTCTTTTTTTTTTTTTTTTTTTGCGGTATGCGGGTCTCTCACTGTTGTGGCCTCTCCCGTTGCGGAGCACAGGCTCCGGACGCGCAGGCCCAGCGGCCATGGCTCACAGGCCCAGCCGCTCTGCGGCATGTGGGATCTTCCCGGACCGGGGCACAAACCCATGTCCCCTGCATCGGCAGGCGGACTCTCAACCACTGCGCCACCAGGGAAGCCCTCTTTTTTTTTTTTATTTCAACTCAAGAAACATTTATTGAACATCAACTCATGCAAAGTACTGTAAAGTAGGATGATCATTCCTGCCCTAAGAGAGCATACACTCTAGATTGTCTTTTTTTTAAAATAGATCTTTATTGGAGTATAATTGCTTCACAATACTGTGTTAGTCTCTGTTGTACAACAAAGTGAATCAGCCATAGGCATACACATGTCCCCATATCCCCTCCCTCTTGAGCCTCCCTCCCACCCTCCCTATCCCACCCGTCTAGGTGGTCACAAAGCACCGAGCTGATCTCCCTGTGCTATGCGGCTGCTTCCCACTAGCTGTTTTACAGTTGGTAGTGTATGTATGTCGATGCTACTCTCACTTCACCCCAGCTTCCCCCTCCCCTCCCAGTGTCCTCAAGTCCATTCTCTATGTCTACGTCTTTATTCCTGCCCTGCCACTAGGTTCATCACATTTTTTTTTTTTAGATTCCATATATATGTGTTAGCATACGGTATTTGTTTTTCTCTTTCTGACTTACTTAACTATATATGACAGACTCGAGGTCCATCCACCTCACTACAAATAACTCATTCTAATTTCTTTTTATGGCTGAGTAATATTCCATTGTATATATGTGCCACATCTTCTTTATCCATTCATCTGTCGATGGACATTTAGGTTGCTTCCACGTCCTGGCTATTGTAAATAGAGCTGCAATGAACATTGTGGTACGTGACTCTTTTTGAATTATGGTTTTCTCAGGGTATATGCCCAGTAGTGGGATTGCTGGGTCATATGGTAGTTCTATTTTTTAGTTTTTTAAGGAACCTTCATACTGTTCTCCATAGAGGTTGTATCAATCTACATTCCCACCAACAGTGCAGGAGGGTTCCCTTTTCACCACACCCTTTCCAGCATTTACAGTTTCTAGATTTTTTTGATAATGGCCATTCTGACTGGTGTGAGGTGATAGCTCATTGTAGTTTTGGTTTGCATTTCTCTAAAAATTAGTGATGTTGAGCATACTTTCCTGTGCCTTGTGGCCATCCATATGTCTTCTTTGGTAAAATGTCTATTTAGATCTTCCACCCATTTTTTAATTGGATTGTTTGTTTTTTGATATTGAGCTCCATGAGATGTTTGTATATTTTGGAGATTAATCTTTTTTCTGTTGTTTCATTTGCAAATATTTTCTCCCATCTGAGGGTTTTCTTTTCATCTCGTTTGTGGTTTCCTTTGCTGTGCAAAAGCTTTTAAGTTTAATTAAGTCCCATTTGTTTATTTTTCTTTTTATTTCCATTTCTCTAGGAGGTGGGTCAAAAAAGATCTTGCTGTGGTTTATGTCAAAGAGTGTTTTTCCTATGTTTTCCTCTAAGAGTTTTATAGTGTCTAGTTTTACATTTAGGTCTTTAATCCATTTGGAGTTTATTTTTGTGTATGGTGTTAGGGAGTGATCTAATCTCATACTTTTACATGTAGCTGTCAAGTTTTCCCAGCACCACTTACTGAAGAGGCTGTCTTTTCTCCATTGCATGTTCTTGCCTCCTTTCTCATAAATTAGGTGACCATATATGCATGGGTTTATCTCTGGGTTTTCTATCCTGTACCATTGATCTGTATTTCTGTTTTTGTGCCAGTACCATACTGCCTTTTTTTTTTTAACATCTTTATTGGAGTATAATTAAAATTATTTTATAAATTATAAAATTCTTTACTAATTTTAAGAATTCTGTATCAGTTTCAAATAAACTGCCTCTGAGTAAGCAGTATAAAGCAGTATATAGTCATCCTCGTCCCTTGGTATCTGAGGGGGATTGGGCACAGTAGCCAACGTCTCTGCTCCTCAGGGAATAGGCCTGGTGACAGCAGCCTAGGTGGCAGCCTTGGGCTGAGAGTAGCTGGAATCAAGACAGGGCGGTTGCTACTAAAAGGGTCTCCCAATCACAAGAGGGTCCTCACCCTGAATGAGGCAGTGGCTGAGTTCGATGGGCTTTTCCTCTTCACACAGACCGAGGGCTGAACAGAGCTCAAGCTCAGATCCATGACTCTTCCTGAGAGCAACTCCAGAGTTCCACCTCTACAGAGTGGACCTCCCTCCCTACTTGAGGGAAACCCCAAGCCATCTCCCTGAGTGGACACGAAGTGGTCTGACCCTAGGATGATCTGCCTCTTCCACTTTCTTCTTTCTTTAAGTAATCTGGGAGACACCATAATCCTTAGCAGTCTACCTCCCAGGCTGAATTATTTAGTGTAACTGTAATCCAGTGCCATTGTCGGCCTAGCAGGATAATTCAAGTTGGGCTGCGGATCAGCAGGACAATTCACATCGGCCTTGGGCTTTGCGATACTACATTTGGGGTTTTTCCTAGGTCGTCTCTCCACCCATGTACAGGACAAATAGCCCCCTCATTCTTGTAGGTCATCAAATGAAGACACACACACACACACACACACACACACACACATTCTCCCAAGCACAAACATTAATTCCCAGAGTCATTACTGTGTGTTGATGGGAAGCGTAAACAGCATTTTTCTAAGTGCGCAGGCTTGCGCAGCTACCTAGCCCACTGCAGAGCAGGTGAACTCCCCTTTGTTCTTTCTGCTTCTAGATGGTGCCCCTATTGGTGCATAAGAAACAGGACACAGACAGAGTCATCCACCCACCCCTCACGCCCACCACTTAATCCCCAAAGACCTCACAGAAGCTTTCCTTATTTTCCCCTGTACTTACTAGGTCAGGTCACATTCTTGAGATCGTTTATACTCCTGTTCAAATAACCCCTAGGGGGTTTGCTCTTCCAGTTAGGCAGGCAATCAAAGAATCGTTTTCGCCAGGATTACTCTGCTGAATATAAATGTTGCTGAGTGGGTGAAAGGTGCCTGGGAGAGTTCATTAAGAAACAGTCCAGGGCTTCCCTGGTGGCGCAGTGGTTGAGAGTCCGCCTGCTGATGCAGGGGAGGCGGGTTCGTGCCCCGGTCCGGGAAGATCCCACATGCCGCGGAGCAGCTGGGCCCGTGAGCCACGGCCGCTGAGCCTGCGTGTCCAGAGCCTGTGCTCCACAACGGGAGAGGTCACAGCTGTGAAATGCCCGCGTACCGCAAAAAACAAAAACAAAAAAAGAAACAGTCCAGGCAAACACTGCCCAGTCCTCCAGAGTCACCTCTGGGACATCAGGGTCACACTCTGTTCCGAGAGGTCCCCCAGATGCGCTGCAACCTGGCCCAGCCTTGGCCTCCGCCATTTACCTGATGCCAGCCAAGTGGCCGGTGGTTAACCATCAAGTCTTACATGACTCTGGAGCTGGGGTTCCTGCCGCAGCGCACAGATCTCCACTCACTTCCACTGCTCCCCTGACCACGGGCTCCTGTGACCAGTGGCCCAGAACACAGTGCTGCGTGAGCCTGCAGTCTTGAATCCCCAAGCTGGAGCCCATAAAATCAGCGACAGCAGGCAGTATAGTGGTTCGTACTCTATTTCTAAAACACCCAGAAAGCTCTCTGCCTCCAGCTAGAATTTATGCTGAGAGGGAGGATTCAGAGAGGAATAGAGGAGAGGCCGCAGCTCTGGGGCGTCTAACCGAGCTCCCGGGCTGAGAAGATGCACTTATGGCAGAGTTTGCAAGGCAGTAGGTAGGAAATCCCAATCGCTCTGCGGCTTCTATGTTCCATGTTGTTGAGAACCCTTGAGGCCAGGGAGACCACAGCCCTATTTATCTCTGATTTGGTCAGTCTGCGACTGGACTTTTTGGCTTTTGGTTTTCCAGCAGTTCTGGAGCTCACCCTTTAAGGAGCCCCCTGTGCAGAGGAGGGCGAGGGTCTCACAGCCACGTCTAGGACGGGTGGCCAAGCACTGACCTGTGGATGACTGGCCTGGAGCGCTATACACACCGGACTCAAACCTCCACAGGGCAGCAGACAACAGAGAGCAGGGTGAGCCCCCCGGCTGCAGGGCTGAGACCCCAGATCGACACTACAGGAAAGTGGCCTTTCCCCATGAACGCTGGAAACAGTGCTCTTGTAAAGGAACACATGCCCTGTCTCTGGAGGAGTGCAAGCACGAGCAGAATACTCTGGAAGGAAGCCATCAGTGGGAACTTGTACTCAGTCGACTAGGATGTCTCTCCCACTCAAGGAGCCCTGGGTTCTGAGACTGTGGATGGGCTAACTTACTAACTTACTAACTTACTAACTTACTAACTGAGAGAGGGCCTGGCAGCAAAGCCTCCTGCCTCTGCAGGGCATACCTGAGAGGCTTTTATCACTGGGCTTTGAAGAGAGAACAATAATCCCATGCTTAAACCAAAACAACTTGTGTTTGGACCTGTGCTGTGAACACACCCTTCATCCTTCCCGCCACCCTGCCAGCTCCCCATAGGGACTCTATGGACTGGAAGTGGGGGGAGATGGAAGCTTGCCCAGCACCTGCCCCAGCCCCAGCTGGGGTGTCTCAGGCCTCTGTCAGAGGGGGCAACTGGCATCTGGGACAGTCTGATCTGACTTCCAGTGGCTTGGAATCCTCCCTAACAGCTGTGACTTCCTGGGGTTCTATGAGAGAACTGCAGAGGCCACGGCCGCCTTGATGCCGCTCCAAGATGTTATCTTAGGAGCAGTGACATTTCAGATGAAGTCACTTCTAAGAGAAACCACTTCCCTTTTTCTAGTTCCTGAATAAACTAAAAGTTTAAATGGTTTAAGGAATCCACTAGCTATCTGGATTAACTAATTAGCAAGTTAAGCAAGTGGCTAAGCTACTCTGGGTCTCAATTTTCTCATCTGACAAAGAAGAAGCATATAATCCAGAACTAAGAGTCTGCGCTTCTAGAACTCGTTCTGCATGGGGGGGGGGTGTGTGTGATCTCACATATGTTCGTGTCTAATCATCGGCACAGACGCCTCCATCAGCCAATGAGACAGCACGCTCAGGACCAGTGAATCCTCCTCCAGCTCTGGCTGGAAATAAAACAGAGAAAGACACTTTTACCTAATGGGACACTGGGAATGCTAACTCTTCTGACTTTCAAAGTCACTGGACCAGAGCTATCGAAGCCAGTTTCCTAACTGGAAGGCAAAGTGATCTCTTGTAAAAGACACTATGGACGGGGCTTCTAGCTGGGGGCACACGCATCCACGTGCACGAACACACACACACACACTTTTGGTACAAGTTGCCTTTGAGAGCTTAAACCGTATCTGATTCTACTTGGTATTCCTAGTACTGACCCCAGGACCTGGCACAAAGCATTTGCTCACAAAAGTGTTGGTGATAAATGATGAAATAAAAGAACGATACAGATCTTCCTCCACTTACCATGGGTTTGTGTCCCGATAAACCCATCATAAGTTGAAAATATTTTAAGTAGAAAGTGCATTTAATACACCAACCTACCAAATATCATAGCTTAGCCTAGCCCAGCTTAAACATGCTCAGACCATTTACATTAGCCTACAGCTGGGCGAAACCATCTCATGCAAAGCTTATTTTGTAACAAAGTGCTGACTGTCTCACGTGATTAGTTGAATACTGTACTGAAAGTGAAAAACAGGATGGGTCTGAGTACAGAGTGATTGTAAGTGTGTCAGCTGTTCACCCTCATGAGCGTACGGCTGACTGGGGGCTGTGGCTGCCACTGCCCAGCATCATAAGAGGGTATCACTGCATATCACTAGCCCAGAAAAAATCAGAATTCAAAGTATGGTTTCTACTGAATGTGTATCACTTTTACACCATCGTAAAAGTCGAAAAAGCCAAAGTCGAAGCGTGGTAAGCCAGGGACCATCTGTACTCATAAAATCCACTGAGGTTATACTGCCAATGGACTGAAAACATAGCATGCCCTGCTCCAGCTACTGCTCAGATCTTTGTGAATGTTTAGTTAATAACTAAAATATCTTAAGAAACTTATGTTGGAGCGAGAGCAGGGGCCTGGGGGGTTGGAGGGGACCAGGGTTCTTACTTCTGCTCCTAATGAGCTGTGTGACTTTGGGCAGCCCCCCCACCCTCCATGGACCTCAGTTTTCCATCTTTAAAATGAAGGGGTTGGGGCTTCCCTGGTGGCGCAGTGGTTGAGGGTCCGCCTGCCGATGCTGCCGATGCAGGGGACACGGGTTCGTGTCCCGGTCCGGGAAGATCCCACATGCCGCGGAGTGGCTGGACCCGTGAGCCATGGCCGCTGAGCCTGCACGTCCGGAGCCTGTGCTCCGCAACGGGAGAGGCCACAACAGTGAGAGGCCTGTGTACCGCAAAAAAAAAAAAAAAAAAGAAGGGGTTGGACTGAATAACCTGTGGTCTCCCTCCCACTTCTGACAGTGTATAGAAATTTAAGGGACTTCCCCGGTGGTCCAGTGGTAAAGAATCCACCTTCCAATGCTGGGGACTCCGGTTGGATCCCTGGTCAGGAAACTAAGATCCCGAATGCCGCGGGGCAAGTAAGCCCACAAGCCGCAGCTAGAGAAAAGCCCGTGTGCCTCAACTAAGACCCGAAGCAGCCAAATAAATAATTTTGTTTTTAATTTTAAAGAAAGGAAATTTAAAACAATAGTAACTTACGGGAAAAAATCTTAATTCTAGTAACGGCATTGACTTTGAAATTGTAAAAATCTACCTTCACAATCTTTGTTTTCTATTCATGAACTTGAATTCCCATTTTTCTGTTTTCTAAGTAGCAAATGTTAAGAAGTACTCTGGGGCAAATTTAAACATCTGGCATGCACCTGTCCTGTTAGTGAGCCTTGACTACAGCCAGAAAAGTTCATGATAAAACAATGCCAGGGACACACACTCATGACTGCTCACTGGACAACCAGAGTATATCTGGAAACTCACCAAAGCAGCCTTTCAGGGACATCATGAGCCTGCTGGTTCCATCCCGGGCCCTGCCCCAGGGCAGCAGGAGACAGTGGGCAACAGGGGCTGGGCAGCATGGGTATGGCTCTTGGGATCCCCTTTTCAAAGCCCAGCCACCCTAACTGTCTTGTGTTCTAGGGACAGAGGGTGGCTTTTCTCAGGATCCAGTGTGACTCTTACCAGTGGCCAGCTCATCCCACCAGACCAGCAGGTACAGATCCCTGGGACAGAAGGTGCTCGTCCTGTGAAACTCTGCCACCACGTGCCTTATAAGCATGACAACTCGGTGGTGTCCCTAAGAGAAATGAGCAGGGCTCTGGGCATTGCAGGAGGGCTCCAGCCCAGCAAGAATCAAAGACCTTGAACCAGAGGGAGAGAAAAATCACCCCCACCCTGAGATGGTGCTCCAGTTGTCCGTAAACTCATTCTTAGCTAGAAGATTCCTTGGATTCACCCCCTAAAGAGCTGGAAAATGATACTCTGGGGGTGCCACTCAATGTCCTCCAACACAGGAGGCAAAATGCCCCAAATTCCTTGAAAGGGTAGGGTGGGGGGTTCCTGTTAGAACCCTACTGGTGAGGCCACTCTTTATGAAGTGTGCCAAAAAAGGGTCCGACTGGTAGGGAGAGAGTCCTCCCCATGGCAGTGACAGCACAATGGAGTGACAGGAGGTGTGAGTCACTGGCTGTGGCTGCTCTGCCACTCCCTGAGGTCACTTCAGGGCAGATGGAACAAAACAGAAACAGCTGCAGATTTGGACCAGGCAGAAAAGAGGAGACAGCACCTGAATGGCTGCCCACAGCCCCCGTGAGCTGCCCGGAGTCCACAGGGCAAGTCAGTTTGCCAGGTGAGTGCCCAGAGCCAAAGAGTCTTCCTTGCTTCTGCCAGCCCAGGCTATGGATTGACAGTATCCCCTTCTGCGGACAGAATTGGCTACATAACTTGTGGATCCAATGCAAAATTAAAACATGGGCTCCCTGTTCAAAAACTGAGAATTTCGAGATGGCAACAGCATCACATTATCTAAGATCAGGGCTCCTCTGAGCGCTGGCTCTGTGTGACTGCACAGGTCATGTGCCATGACGCCAGCGCTTTCTGCAGGGATGTTCTGATTCTGTGTATTTCCTATTGGAGTTCACCTTCATAGTCTGAGGACAAGTTAATCGTCAACACCATTTCTATCTGCTTTAAGAAAACTAAACTATAATAACTAAAGTGCCTCCATTCCGTGAATATTTATTGAGCACCTACTTCGTGCCAGGCACCCAGCAGTGAGCAAAGGCCGTGCCCGCGTGGCGCTCACGTTCTAGCAGGAGAAGAAGCATCTTGCTTCCGTCCCTCCCCAGACCTTTCAGACATGGCTGGCAGGCCAGCTGACTCTGAGCTATCTCCTTCATGAACCAACTGCTGGGGCAGAAAGCCATACAGTTCAATATTAAATTGTTCCTTGAATTCTTTGCACATGTGCTATTTTTGCATCCCCAGTAGGGCCCCAAGCTCTTTGTCTTACACGAAAGGTCCTCATGTAGTCCGTCATTCAACAAATGTTTACTCAGCACCTGTGCCAGGCCCAGGTCTATATGCCCGGGATACAAGTCATTATAAGTAAGACACGGTCCCCATACTCTAGGAGATCCCATCGAAAATGAATGAGAGGGACTTCCCTGGTGGTCCAGTGGCTAAGACTCCATGCTCCCAATGCAGTGGGTCCGGGTTCGATCCCTGGTCAGGGAACTAGATCCCGCATGCCGCAACTAAAGATCCCACACGCAGCAACGGAGATCCCACGTGCTGCAGTGAAGACCCAGTGCAACCAAATAAATAAATAAATAAAAATAAAAATAAAATGGATAAGAAATGGTAGGAAAGGAACAATGTGTTTTGAGCAGAAGAGGAAGATAGAGGAAGTCAGGGAAGGCAGATGACGTCTGAGCCCTGCTTTGAAGACTTAGTGGGAACAAAACTCAGGCTTGTCTCTTCATGGGGACCTCTGCAAGGAGCACCCCTAGCTAACTCCCCTCATCCTGTTCTTCTCCAGCACCTGGGAGCACCTTCAGCAGGTCTTGCCTCCTGAGAGCTCCGCCATCTGATACTTGAATTCCCTCTATGACATTCTGAACTGGGGTCATCCAGCTGCGGCAAGAACATGTTCAGTGATACAGAGTTCATGACCTTTGACTCATGTTCTGACCGCTATAGTATCTTTCTTTCTTTTGAGCCAAAATCTGCCCCTTGAACATTTCCTGTTGGTTCTTCCCTTGAAGCCCACATAGACTGGACCAATCAACTCGTTCACCCACCAGACCGTCCGTGTCCCAGCCAGCATGCTAGGCATGGTCTCGGCCCTCCAGGGCTCACAGTCTGCTGGTGGCTTCTGGAATACGATGGTAAGTGTTGGGATAAGGGGAAGGCAAGGCACTGGAGAGCATGTAGGTGGGCTATCCCACCCAGTCTTGAGAGGTCAAGGGAAGGCTTCCCAAAGGAAGTGATATTTACCGCAAAGCCTACGGAGCAAACCTGTCTAGGCCCCAGAGGCACAGAGCAGCCACTACCCACAGGAAATGGAAAGACAATTACCCTTTAAATACCACGTTTATTCCCAAGACACAAATACTAGAGGATTCTAATTTTGGCAGCCCTGCCCTCTATTCTGTTTATTGAAATACTGGGATGGTGAAGGAAGCACTACCACAGAGAGCTCCTAGAGGTGGGAATTTCCCCCAGGGCTCGCCCAGGCCTGGCACACAGTAGGTGTACAAACCACGTGTGTGGAATGGACCAGGCAGCCTTTGGGTGATTTCCCCCACCTGGTCCTGACGCTCTCCAGCCAGCTTTGCTGTGAAAGGCTGGTGAAGCCAGGGTAAGGGCAAAGACACAAGGGGGCGATGGGGTGGGCACCAGACCTTCGTTTTGGGAAGCAGGGGAGGGAGGGTGCGGCTTCCCACCTTCCTCCTCCCACCAGCTCTGGGCCCAGAAGCATGAGCTAGATCAAGATGGGGTTTATCACTTGAAGGCACAGCAGCTGTGTTTGAGAAGCGGCAGGAGGTCTCCCCCAGAGAGGAAGCCCAGCTCTCCTTGCAGAAGAGCTCTCGAGGGTCCTAGCCCC